CCCGGTCCCAGTGCACGGTTTGTAAACTTATGAAGACGATGATGAAAATGGATGATCCCCAATTCCAATTTGCCATTTCAACATTTCATTTCATTTCATAACAACTGCACAGTTTGAAGGCACTGTGTTGTCTAATAGTCAATTGATTATGCAAAAACTATGTTTAGATATTTCTGTTCTTTTAAGGTTAATTGCACATACAAGCCCATGGCCAGGGGGTTGAGGGTTTGAAAGAACCGCCGTTTTTATCAGGAAAAGGTCCATTCTGGGTAAAATTTCTGAGCAAAAACTGCAATCAGAATGGCATGCAACATCACAAACAGATAACAATACATAAGTATCAAATAATAATACATTTTGTTGTAATTTCCTTTGATCACCTTAGAATCAGTTTGCAATATTTGTAATAAAAATGCAAAAAAAATGGGGTTCTATGAAAACAAAAAAGTAATTGAGATTTTTAGACTTTGTTCGATGATATTGTTCAGAAGGCGGTTCTAAAATCTTCTGTAAAAATACTTAAATGATAAATCAATAATAGGTCAATAATAATAATAATTAATGGTATAAAATCTTGAATCAATGGAATGTAGTTTTTCAGTATATAGGCAGTTTTTGGCTCAAGTTCATAATTCCTAATTGAAAGGACTGGGTTTCTTTCAACTTGTTTCAAACGTCTACTCCATTTTTTCCAGAGTTCCCTTAGTACCATTCAATACAACTTGATCACCTGAAACAGTGATAATCCTGGGTAATAGTACAGAATTCAACGTGACCGTAACACATTAAAAAAGACCAAAAATGACAAAATAAATAAATAAATAATAAATTAATAAACAAATAGACAAATTTTAACCTGGTATATTTAAAAATAGTCATGATTTAGACTGACTCTGAAAGGAAACTTGCAGTCAGATCTCCATTATTACTCCATCTAAAAAACAGGAAAATCCCATTCATTTTCATTTACTTGCTGAGAATATTGTTGTCTAATTATATAAACGGGGAATGGAAAGGTGCGCATACAGATCAGTTTTCTTGAAATAAAACAGCAAAAATTGGTTAAAAGTCTATAGAGACGACTGAAGTACAATGAGAAGAACCTTTCCTCATTACAATGTTTACTCACAATGGCAGAGGGAATGGTACAATGCATCAGTTTCTTTACCTGTGGCAAAAAGATGAGTGGCTTTCGGAATGTTGACCACACATGGCAGACCATATTCTCTGGCAACCACAGCTCCTGGGAAAGGCAAAATAGTTTGTGAAGGAAGGAAAATTAATAGAGTTCTGAGACAACCAAATGTGAAGTTTTGTTTTTAAATATCATATATGGAAATCAAGAAAATCTTTGGGCAATGCTAGTTAACTCAATTACAACTAGAAAATCACTCCGAGAGTGCAGACCTCCGCCAAGGCAGCGTTTTTATTATTATTGATTATTGATACGGATCACCACCAAAAACTATTCACTTCTAAGTTAACCCATTTCCCACCTACCCTGAAAATTTCATCAAAATCGCTCAATAACTTTTTGAGTTATGATGATGACAAACAACAAACAGACAGACAGACAGGGGTGAAAACATAACCTACTTGGCGGAGGTAATTACATTGTGCAATATGATACAAAGAATAAGTTATGGTAACCCGTAATGATTCGATCTTTTCAATGGGGAAAATTATTTATCTTTCAGATTAATAATTATATAGGATCATTAAAAATATATTTCTGTGTAAAATATATGGTGCTTTTACTGTAAAAAATATTTAGTAGTCTGCTTTTCAATTTTGTTGCTAACACTCAATAGGAATGTTCTAATTAACAAAAATATGAAAAATTATGAAAATACAGTATAGAATTCACAATTTTCCTCATTGTTAAGTCATTATTGTAACATCTGACACAGTCTGCTAATGAAGACAGTTCAGTTCTTAGATAAGCTGTCCCCAGTAAACTGGAAACATGTGGGTTAGTACCATGTGATAGGAGTCCTCCCAGTTCAGTCACCAGTCCTGATATAAGTGGGAAATAAGGGGACCATCCCACATCTGTGTAGGGCACTATCAGGATGTCACCAGGCTGAAAAAAACAACAGGACACATCTTATGAAATTGTCAAATGACCAGAAATTGTAATAAAAATGTGCTATTTGTGTCAAGGTTATTTTTCTTCCTTAAGAATTTTGAATAAAAAACATAACAGGGCATACAAAATGCATTTCTTACCAAAACGAATATTTCATTTTTTTTACTTTTAATACTCTCCCTTTAAAAAAGAAGAAATACAATTGAATTTTTCAAAATAAAGGGAAAAAAAGAAAGAATAAAATTGCTCCCAAAAATGGAACTGAGTACCAGTGTGATAACCCCTACCTGAATTTGACTTGCTTCCTGCAGAGAGGTGACCACCCTAGCTGTCCCCCTGACCACACCTTGACTGACCGGCAGGCCTAAAATCAGAAAATGTAGGTGAATTAACCTGTATTTTTATGGCAAATGTCTACAAGATCATATCTTGCCAACCAGGAACACCATAAGTATGTGTTCACACTGAAGAAAGTTAACATATAACCAAAAATCCAACCTTTTTAAAAGTAATTCATATTTAATGTATTATTTATTTCCACTGACCTTTAAGAGCAACAGATGTCACAACAGAATCATTTTCTGTTACTTCTTCTATCTGAAAATGTAAATATACATGGATAAAAACTCTGGCATTGTGATTCACATTGCCAATGTCAAAGATTTCATGCTTTGCTCCATATAAATTTAAACAAATCTGAATATAAAAATTCTAATTGAATTTTATGCATTTTTAGATACAAAGTAATAAAAAATAATAACTCCCTTTGCAGTTTTCTAAGCAAATAGAGTGCTGTGTTGATGTGTATTAAAACTTACTAAATTATTTTACAACATATATTTGGAACTATACACATATATGCAAGTCTCTGTCAACACCATTTTTTGTCTATAGCATAGGCATGTACTGATTGCAATTTGCCAATATCCTAGGCCCAAAAATGCATCACTTATTGTTTATCATGTTTCTTTTTAAGAACAGAATAACACAGGTGTACAAATTAATGTCCAGGAACTGTTCTCTCTGCTTTATGGAATATATATGCAAAGAAACAAATCTACTGATACTCAAAAATATTTACAGGTTCAGGGTGACCAATGCTAAATTCTGGGAACTCTGTCGCCATCTGTTTTGGTAGCACACGTTTTCTCCTGTTGGCCCTGAAAGAAAAGTGTATTCTTTTTTTTATCACCAATATCCAGAAATATTTCTAAACCAATTCATCGTTTTCTTATAATTGTATATATTATTCTATATTACTGGAGAATAATTATCCATATTGTTGCTCTCTCTGCATTTACTGAACAATACTGCATTAAACTGAAGAAAAATATTAATAATATTGAAATGAATTTTATTAAAATACTTTTCAAGAAAGATTATAAGCAGCCTCTTAACCATATCTGTTTGCTCTACAAAATTTTCCTTTGAAACTGCAATAAAAAATACAAACTTTGCCACCAGCCTTCCTGATCTTGTTTTTAGCAATGTCCCAATCTCTTGGTGAGTGAGGAAGAAAAGTAAATCTGGCTCTGGCAGACGACCCTAAATAGCATACCATTCAAGAATTATCTTACACTAAAAACCATGTATTTTGTGAATTTAAATTGAATGAAAATTTATTTCCAAAAATTATAAATCAAATTTGTGAACACTGATGGAATTAAAAAGTCACTACATATGCAAAGTTACATCAAACAGCTCTTTCTCTTTATTCTTATATATTCTGAAGGAAGGATGCATTAAAAGAATAGGGCAATCCTATATTAAAAAGTAAACATGCATTACCTCTTTCACCATGAGTTCAGCCAATGCCCAATAGGCCTCCTTGAAGACATCTGTCATCTGAACAGAAAGTGACTGGAAAGCAAAGAAAAAATCTGCCCAGGATGAAAAAGACAAGAAAAATATTCGAAACTTGGGGGGGGGGGGGGGGGGATACCAATTCTGTTTCACATTGAAGTAAAAAACTGTCCAAAAACTTATGCTAAAGACCATGAGAGAGAGAGAAAGAAAGAGAGATGAGATTGTAATCACCTTGCCCCACTCTCTATCTCCTACTGCAGCCCTGGCTCTTGGTAATGCCCATTTTAAGATCAATCTGAAAGAATCATTTTTATTAATACAAAGTCAGTGTTTTTAAATAGGAACAAAGACAACAAAAGAGTATGACAACAAAAAAGGTATTATCATTAAGGCTTTCACAATTCCAAGGGATTGTATTTACTGACATTTTAATTATAATAATCAAGCACTTTGCAACAGTGGGCATTCAGATGATACTCTTGTGACAAGAGCAAAACATAGCTGTTTCACTACTATTTTTTTGTTCTAAAGAAAGTGATTACTATTACTGAAACAACTAACTTAATAAAAACAAAATATTTGTAAACAAAAATCATTTACAGTACAATTGTATCACTGTATATATTTTGTACCTTCCAAACCATGTGGTGGGAGACTTGATCCCAGCCAGTGAGTCTGACACACTCATGATGGATCTCTTGGTCACTTCTGGGATACCTGCCTTCATCATGGACTAGAAGAAAAAGAAATGGTACTTGTTATATTTCCTCAACACTCTCCTCACAAATATCACTTAATATACTGGAGGTTTTAATAGTCATTTTAGATTTTATATAATTCTAATTTTAATAATTTTATTAATTCTAATTTTAATAATTGTAATTCTAACAGATTTGAATTATTAAAAAGATTGAATTAGATTCAAAATAGTCTTGACCAAATCAGTATGCATGGTCAATTCAAATAATAGCAACACTGTAACAACGATATCCTGAATGTGGATTGTTGAATTATAATCATTCACAGAAAGTTTTTATCTAAATATTTTCATACCATCTAGTTTTTGGCTCTACTCAAGAGCCTTCCTCAGGACAAACTGGTCATGCACTGATGTTCTAATGCTGAATGATTATAATTCACTGATCCATGTGTAACTACCAGTTTCATGAACCTTTTTAGAGATTACCTGAATAACTGATACCACTTTCTCTGGCTGCTGCCTCCATGACCTCTCCAACATTTCTGCCTAGTAATGGAAAAGCTGTGTACACAATCATTTGGAATTCTGTACTGCTACATTGTACATATAAAAATTTAAAAGTGAAAAATAAAATTTTCAAGCCAATGTTCTAATTTTTTCTTTAAATGTCCTGTTAATAAGAGCAATATGTATAAATAAGAAAATATGACTTTATAAAAATATATATACCTGATTGCTTTTATCTATGAATGGAAATATATCTTTCTATAAAAGCCCATTTTGTAATTTTTTAATTGCTTTAAATTCTTTCCCTTGATGAATTTCAAGTTTAGCAATGAGATTACAAACAATAAATGCAAGGATGAAAAGATTCCATGCAAGTCACAGCATTAATTAACTTGTACATGTATATCCTGATTTTGAATTGCACAAGATCACCATATGCATATGGTTTTAATATTTCTATTCTCTCTTGGTGAACTATTTGACATTTTATACATTCATGCCACTTTTAATAAAGCTCTAATAAGCTGCATAATAACCATATGATACAATCTGTACCTCTCTCACACATCGATGTCCATGTCTTGCCATGAACTCGGCAAATTTCTTCCCTGGTTCTCCTTTGTCATTTTGTAGCCATTTGACAGCATCCTGAAAGTGAAAATGTTTTTTGAGTAATATAAAATTTTTCTAGGCAAACCCTTAGCAAAATATCAGGCCTGGAAATTTGATGCAATATTGCTTTTATCTAAGAAAACTGCAATTCCTTCTTGCCAATTTGCAGCATATTTGCTGGAATATGGCTAGAAATTAGCAGCAATAAAAATTTTCTTGCAAACTCCTGCAAACTAAAAGTTTGCAGCAATACTGCTGTAATTTTGCTGCAAAATTATCTTTTTGCCATGGGAAATAATTGTAAAAGTCTCAACACTTTCTTTTTGCAACAGCTTTATGGGGGCAACGTATATGTAAGTACTAAAATATCCATGCAGTTATGTACTAGTATTAGTTAGTACCCACAGTAACATATCTGCATGGTTATCTCCAATAAGATTATTTTCACTAAAATATTCATCAAAGTTACTGACTAAATATAAATGACAATTAGAACAGAAAGCATACCTCAGTTGTCATGTCTGCAATCTCTTTACTTTGACTACTTTTGGAGAGTACTGCTGCTAAGTGCTGAAATGATAGACAGTTGTATCCAATTATTTATACTTTGCACATTCATTAGTGAGGTGAAGGGAAGAATGATATTCACTTTTTCCTTTCTTTTTTTTTTTCATTTTTAAATATCATTATTATCATTATTTGCTAAGAACTGAAATTGTATTTCTATACTGTAAAATCAACTTTCTTGCCACCACCTGTCTTTCCCACACCTATGAGGACTTTGCCATCACCTAATTTGCTGTTATTTATCTTGCTACAATTGCAAGCTATTGTATTACCATGTCTATGTCTGTAGTAGGCTTGTTAAGGACCAAAAATTGGCTAAACACTGCATTTTGTAGTACAAATGTCTAACTTTGCATGAATGTTCCTTGGGCCAAAATGAAAATTTTTATCCATAGAGACAATGTTTATCTTGGCACCACTCACATGCTATCTTGCTACCACCTTTATGTACATATCTCAATTGGTTAATCATTACGTAATACTGCATAAAAATTGACAAAAAAACCTACTTTGTGCACTGCCATCACAAACATCATGAAAAGAAAAGTGTTACTTATTATTTCTTTTAACTGACAAGTATGATTCTTATGATTGACATTCAGCTCAAATTAGAAAACCAGCTCTCATGGCCACTTTATGTATCTTGACACCACCTATCTTGTCATAAACTACTGGTACCTTGCTAATTTCAAAGACCTATACCTACCTGCAATGCTGTGGGGACATCAGCACTGTAAACTTTCTCACAATGAGCAAGAAGAAATGCCAAGTCAGAGTAATGTTCTTGCTTCCACTCTGAAAAATAGAAATTTAAGACACAATCTCACACTTTAGTGCAAAACGATAATTCCCAAGAAGACCTTATACCTTGGTCTTTTCTCTTCATGTAATATGTTCTACATTTCCAAATGCTTTCCTTTAAATCCTTGTGTAAAATACAAAAAAAAAATTCACTAGGGCAGAAAACGAAAATGAAACTACATGTACATCATGTAAGGCTATGAAAAAAAATGGAGCTTCTACTGAATTTGTTAAGCAAACCACTGCTATGTCTTTAGGTGTGTTCACAATGATACTATCATACTAGGTAGATCAATCCAACTCCCCTGGAACTCTCGCTGAATGCAATCAGATTAAATGAGCAGCTGGAGGTGATTAACTTTTGTGTGTTCGTTGCACTCAAAACAAAATGAAAAAATTTCCAGAAGCCCAGTGCACATCTAGCTGTCATTCAATTAATCTGATTGCATTTTAAGCAAGAATCCCCGCGGAGTTGGATCAACATATGTAGAGCGATAGTTTCATTGTGGAAATGCACCCTTAAACTCACCCAGCTCCCCCTTGGTCAGCACAGACATGAGGACGGCACTCCAGGTACTGGACCGTCCACTGTTGATAACACCATCTGTCCAGCACTGCAGCAGAGAAAGTAGACAGTATGCAGGACCATAGTTCGAAAGAACCCCCCTTTTTGCTGAGAAAAGGCCCCTTCTGGTTTAAATTTGATCTAGGTACATGGAGGTTTCATGTTCAAAGGTCCACTTTTTTCAGAAAAAGAACCCCCCTTTAGAAATTGCTGGCTATGGGCTTGGTATAGATCATTATAATTGTTATAATAGATGTACGTATTGGACACACCCTGAGTGTCTTAGTTTACTGAAAACTATTATCTTTGCTATCAGCAAGCCTCTTGCTGTCCTCTTTAACTAGACATTACAAGNACATATATTTGGAACTATACACATATATGCAAGTCTCTGTCAACACCATTTTTTGTCTATAGCATAGGCATGTACTAATTGCATTTTGCCAATATCCTAGGCCCCAAAATGCATCACTTATTGTTTATCATGTTTCTTTTTAAGAACAGAATAACACAGGTGTACAAATTAATGTCCAGGAACTGTTCTCTCTGCTTTATGGAATATATATGCAAAGAAACAAATCTACTGATACTCAAAAATATTTACAGGTTCAGGGTGTCCAATGCTAAATTCTGGGAACTCTGTCGCCATCTGTTTTGGTAGCACACGTTTTCTCCTGTTGGCCCTGAAAGAAAAGTGTATTTTTTTTTATCACCAATATCCAGAAATATTTCTAAATCAATTCATCGTTTTCTTATAATTGTATATATTATTCTATATTACTGGAGAATAATTATCCATATTGTTGCTCTCTCTGCATTTACTGAACAATACTGCATTAAACTGAAGAAAAATATTAATAATATTGAAATGAATTTTATTAAAATACTTTTCAAAAAAGATTATAAGCAGCCTCTTAACCATAACTGTTTGCTCTACAAAATGTTCCTTTGAAACTGCAATAAAAAATACAAACTTTGCCACCAGCTTTCCTGATCTTGTTTTTAGCAATGTCCCAATCTCTTGGTGAGTGAGGAAGAAAAGTAAATCTGGTTCTGGCAGACGACCCTAAAAATCATACCATTCAAGAATTATCTTACACTAAAAATCATGTATTTTGTGAATTTCAATTGAATGAAAATTTATTTCCAAAAATTATAAATCAAATTTGTGAACACTGATGGAATTAAAAAGTCACTACATATTCAAAGTTACATCAAACAGCTCTTTCTTTTTATTCTAATATATTCTGAAGGAAGGATGCATTAAAAGTATAGGGCAATCCTATATCAAAAAGTAAACATGCATTACCTCTTTCACCATGAGTTCAGCCAATGCCCAATAGGCCTCCTTGAAGACGTCTGTCATCTGAACAGAAAGTGACTGGAAAGCAAAGAAAAAATCTACCCAGGATGAAAAAGACAAGAAAAATATTCGAAACTTGGGGGGGGGGATGCCAATTCTGTTTCACAGTGAAGTAAAAAAAAACTGTCCAAAAACTTATGCTAATGACCATGAAAGAGAGGGAGAGAGAGAGAGAGAAAGTAAGAGAGATGAGATTGTAATCACCTTGCCCCACTCTCTATCTCCTACTGCAGCCCTGGCTCTTGGTAATGCCCACTTTAAGATCAATCTGAAAGAATCATTTTTATTAATACAAAGTCAGTGTTTTTAAATAGGAACAAAGACAACAAAAGAGTATGACAACAAAATAAGTATTATAATTAAGGCTTTCACAGTTCCAAGGAATTGTATTTACTGACATTTTAATTATAATAATCAATTATTTTGCAACAGTGGGTGTTCAACCCGATGATACTATTGTGACAAGAGCGAAACAGCTATTTCACCACTATTTTTTGTTCTTAAGAAAGTGATTACTATTACTGAAACAATTAACTAAATAAAAACAAAATATATGTAAACAAAAAATTATTTACAGTACAATTGTATCACTGTATATATTTTGTACCTTCCAAACCATGAGGTGGGAGACTTGATCCCAGCCAATGAGTCTGACACACTCATGATGGATCTCTTGGTCACTTCTGGGATACCTGCCTTCATCATGGACTAGAAGAAAAACAAATGGTACTTGTTATATTTCTTCAACGATCTCCTCACAAATATCACTAAATATACTGGAGGTTTTAATAGGGATTTTAGATTTTATATAATTCTAATTATAATAATTTTATTAATTCTAATTTTAATTATTGTAATTCTAATAGATTTGAATAATTAAAAAGATTGAATTAGATTCAAGATAGTCTTGACCAAATCAGTATGCATGGTCAATTCAAATAATAGCAACACTGTAACAATGATGTCCTAAATACAGAGTGTTGAATGAATCATTTCACAGACAGTTTTTATCTTCCCCTCATGCCCTGTTCCTCCCTCCCCTTAAATGTCACTTTATGTCATCGTTACTCGTCTTTTCTTTGAATATTTTTTCTTTTTTTTTAATTTTTCTTTATCTAATTTTATGACTTGATATTTCTAAGGTAAGCATATAATGCTTTGGTGACTTGCCGCCTTTATTTATACTGTAACTTATATTTAACCTTTTATGAGAATAAAGATGTTAAAAAAAGTTTTCATCTAAATATTTTCATACTGTCTAGTTTTTAACTCTACTCAAGAGCCTTCCTCAGGACAAACTGGCCATGCGCTGATGTTCTAACGCTGAATGATAAATTCCACAATCCATGAACTCTTTTAAGAGATTACCTGAATAACTGATACCACTTTCTCTGGCTGCTGCCTCCATGACCTCTCCAACATTTCTGCCTATAGTAATAAAATATAGACTTCATACACAATTATTTGGAATTCTATACTGCTACATTGTACAAGTGAAAAATCAAATTTTCAATCCAATGTTCTAATTATTTCTCTTTCAAATGCTGTGTTAATAAGAGCAATGTGTATAAATAAGGAAATATGACTGTATAAACATATATATCTGTTTGCTTTTATCTATGAATGGAAATATATATCTTTCTATAAATGTCCATTCTGTAATTTTTAAAATTGTTTTTAGTTTCTTTCCCTTGATGAATTTCAGTCCAGCAACGAGATAATAAACAATAAATGCAAGGATGAAAATATTCCATGTAAGTCACAGCATTAATTAACTTGTACAGTATATCCTGATTTTGAAGTGCACATGATCACCATGTGCATTTAGTTTTTTTTAACATTTCTATTTTCTCTTTATGAATTATATGACAATTTATACATTCATGCCACTTTCAATAATAGCTCTTATGAGCTGCATAATAACCATATGATACAAACTGTACCTCTCTCACACATCGATGACCATGTCTTGCCATGAACTCGGCAAATTTCTTCCCTGGTTCTCCTTTGTCATTTTGTAGCCATTTGACAGCATCCTGAAAGTGAAAATGTATTTTGAGTAATATAAAATTCTTCTAGGCAAACCCTTAGCAAAATATCAGGCCTGGAAATTTGCTGCAATATTGCTGCAAACTGCAATTCCTTCTTGCCAATTTGCAGCATATTTGCTGGAATATGGCTAGAAATTAGCAGCAATAAAAATTTTCTTGCAAACTCCTGCAAACTAAAAGTTTGCAGCAATATTGCTGTAATTGTGCTGCAAAATTATCTTTTTGCCATGGGAAATAATTGTAAAAGTCTCAACACTTTCTTCTTGCAACAGCTTTATGGGGGCAATGTATACGTAAGTACTAAAATATCCATGCAGTTATGTACTATAGTTAGTACACACAATAACATATCTGCATGGTTATCTCCAATAAGATTACTTTCACTAAAATATTCATCTAAGTTACTGACTAAATATAAATGACAGAACAGAAAGCATACCTCAGTTGTCATGTCTGCAATCTCTTTACTTTGACTACTTTTGGAGAGCACTGCTGCTAAGTGCTAAAATGATAAACAGGTTGCTTTAAAATAGCTGTGTCCAATTATTTATACTTTGCACATTCATAAGTGAGGTGAAGGGAAGAATGATATTCACTTTTTCCTTTCTTTTTTTCATTTTTAAATATCATTATTATCATTATTTGCTAAGAACTGAAATTGTAATTATATACTGTAAAATCAACTTTCTTGCCACCACCTGTCTTTCCCACACCTATGAGGACTTTGCCATCACCTAATTTGCTGTTATTTATCTTGCTACAATTGCAAGCTATTGTATTACCATGTCTATGTCTGTAGTAGGCTTGTTAAGGACCAAAAATTGGCTAAACACTGCATTTTGTAGTACAAATGTCTAACTTTGCATGAATGTTCCTTGGGCCAAAATGAAAATTTTTATCCATAGAGACAATGTTTATCTTGGCACCACTCACCTGCTATCTTGCTACCACCTTTATGAACATATCTCAATTGGTTAATCATTACGTAATACTGCATCAAAATTGACAAAAAAACCTACTTTGTGCACTTCCATCACAAACATCATGAAAAGAAAAGTGTTACTTATTATTTCTTTTAACTGACAAGTATGATTCTTATGATTGACATTCAACTCAAATTAGAAAACCAGCTCTCATGCATGGTCACTTTCTGTATCTTGACACCACCTATCTTGTCATAAACTACTGGTACCTTGCTACTTTCAAAGACCTATACCTACCTGCAATGCTGTGGGGACATCAGCACTGTAAACTTTCTCACAATGAGCCAGAAGAAATGCCAAGTCAGAGTAATGTTCTTGCTTCCACTCTGAAAAATAGAAATTTAAGACACAATCTCACACTCAAGTGCAAAACGATGATTCCCAAGAAGACCTTATACCTTGTTCTATTCTCTTCATGTGATACTTTCTACATTTCCAAATGCTTTCCTTTATATCCTTGTGTAAAATACAAAAAAATTCACTAGGGCAGAAAACGAAAATGAAACTACATGTACATCATGTAAGGCTATGAAAAAAATGGGAGCTTCTACTGAATTTGTTAAGCAAACCACTGCTACGTCTTTAGGTGCGTTCACAATGATACTATCATACTAGGTAGATCAATCCAACTCCCCTGGGACTCTTGCTGAAT